TTTCAACATCTTCTGGATGCATGAAAACCTGGTGATACCATCTGAAGGCATCCATGAAGCTGAGCAGCTCACAACCTGCCGTTTCATCCACTAGCACAACGTTGGATAGCCACTCCACGTGGATGACCGGACGGATGTGGCGAATGCTAAGGAGCGTCGTGACTTCCACCTTGATGAAGTCCCGCCGTTCGGCCGCAATGTATCTCTTCTTTTGTTGGACGGGCTTGGCATCCGGCTGAACGGCCAACCTATGGCATATGATCTCTGGGTCTATCTCCGGCATGTCCTCCGGTTCTCTGGCGAAAATAATTTTAAACTTCCGGAGGACGAGGATCACTCCCTCTGGAATCCCAGACTCTAGATCGGCCCCAATGGATACCTTCATGTCCCAAGGATCATCCAACTCAACCTCTTCAAGCAAGGTGGCCGGCTCCGGCCGACCCTCGAAATATGCCCGCCATGCGGTCTCAGCAATGATGTTGACCCACATGTCACGGTCATTTACCATGGGGAATTTGATGCAAGAGTGTCGCACGGAGCAGATGGCCTCTAGGTCTTTCAGCCCTGGTCGACCGAGAATAACATTGTGGGCACACTTTAAGCAGACAACTATGAACATCATTTGAATCGCCGCTTTGTGCATCACATCCCCAACCTCCATTGGGAGGGTGATCGTCCCCTCCGCATCTATGCAATCCCTTGTGAAGCCGGTCAGTGGGATTCGCAGCGGGGGTCAACTGATCCCTTCTGAGGTGAAGCCTCTCAAACACCTCCCAGTAGAGGACGTTCACACTGCTTCCGGTATCAACAAGGACCTGCCGTACTATGGCATTCTTTACGTCCATGCTGATGACCAGCTCGTCTCTGTGTGGCACAGGGGCGCTGGGCAAGTCTGTCGGCCCAAAGGTGATGGGCTCAATTCTGCTCCTCTTCATGAGGGGTGCAGATACGGAACCCACATACAGGTCTCGTTCAAACTTCTTCCGCTCTGCCAGGTTGTCCGCGGTTTCGGCTCCCCCGAAGATTACTTTAATCTCCAGCTTCTTCTTCCTGCCGTTTGGTCCGAGGGACCCCTCGGGACATTTATGAGCATTGCGATAATCCACATCCTTGGGTTCGGCCTCTCGTCGATCATCCCGGCGCCACGTACTTGGCTTCTTGTACTGTATGGCTGCATTTGGTCCTTGGGCGTTGGCTCTGCGACGAAATTCCCCGAGGTATCCCCTCTGGATTAGCTCGTCAATCGCCTTCCTGAGGCTGTTGCAGACGTTCGTGCTATGGCCGCTTTTGCGATGATACTCGTAGTAAGCAGTGAGGTTTTTTCCCATCGGCCCCTTGGTGTCCCGTGGCCGCTCAAGCATCCCCTTGTCTTTGATGGCCTCGAAAATCTGCGAGGAGGTGTACCCGGAGTCATCAGGCCGTGCGTGACCAACGTGGCCCTGTGCTACCCAGGGGGTATACCCACTGTTCGACTACTTCCTTTTCATCGCGGGGGAGTCCCCCAGTCCTGGGCCCAGGATATTCGAAATTTTGCGGGTCGGCGCAGCTGGCGCCCCGTCCCTCTGAGCGATATCTTCCTCGACCGTGGCATATTTCTGCGTGTGGACCTCAGCATAGTTCGTCCCCGGGTTCCTCCTCAGGTCCCGGTATAGGTCGCCGGTGGTTAAGGCATTGGTGAAGAGGGTGATGTCAGTGCTCTCATATAGGTCCTCGATCTTCATAATCTCATCCCTCCATCTGATGAGGAATGCTGATAAGGGCTCGGCCTTACCCTGATGGACGCGCGTCAATGGGCTGAAATGTTTCTTGGGGGTTGAGCTAGACATGAACTGCGCCATGAACTGTCTAAGACAGATGTTCAAAGCTGTCTATGGTCCTGGGCCTCAACTGCCTGAACCATTCCCGCGCTGGCCCCCGTAGGGTGCCGAAGAAAAGTCTGCAGATGGCATCATCAGACGCTCCGAGCATGGTGAGATTGCCCTGGAAAGTAATCAGATGGGCCTTGGGGTCCCCAGCCCCATTGTACACCAAGGTGCTTAGTGGTCTGCAATCCTGTGGGATCTCTGCAGCGATGATCCTTGGGGAGATTGAGGAGGTGAGCGAAATGCGAGGTTGTGTCGGACCATTCTCCGCACGTCTGTTCAGCTCCTCGATCTTTCTTTCCATTGTTTCGATCCTGACCTCCTGTGCGGCCACTTCTGGGGTCACAGAAGAGCCTGCCACAAAGACGTCATCAGCTCTGGCAGCATTGGCGTCGTGCTGCCGACGGATGATGTGGGCACCCTGCCTCTGGAAGCGGTGCCCTACATTTCTTGCTGCGGGGGTCAGGTCCCCACCGTGGTAGCCGTGGGGGACGTGCGGCGTGTGAGCACGCGTATCGTTGTGCCTCCCCTGCCGGGAGGCGTCTGCACCATTGTGGCCCCCATGTCTTGGGAGGGTGGTGCTCCGCCAATCCGAGTGTGGATGGATGGGCAGCAGCTATCTGACTCTGCCGTTCGCTCCTCAAACGGCTGCATTTGGTGAATCGGTGAGAGGGGCGTGTGTTGGGAGTTTGCCGAGAACACATGCTCATGAGCCTCATGCTCGTCCGCCATGCGGCGCATGGTTTCCGCCAACTCCCTCATAACTCGAGGGTCCTGCCTGGATGTCTGGGGGTGAGGTTTGTGATGTCTCCACCTCCCCTCGTAGACCACAAACTCTCAGAACGTCCGATGGTCTGCCCCACGTGACCTCCTCCTGCTGGCCAGCTGGTCAGAGAGGTCATGTGCACGTTGGTTGTTGTTTCTTGCCATCTTGCTTGCTAGAGAAAGTTCTTAAGGAAGCTGTTTGATGTGCTAGTTTTGAAAACATTTAGTTCAATTTCCCGCAAGACGGCGCCAATGTTGAAGCTTATTCCTTCAATCTGTAGGCCCAACACATAACCTAAGGATTTCGAGTGGAAGAATGTAAGAGAATATAGAGTGCAAGCAAATAAGATGGGCTAAAATGTATCTGCAGTGTTTATTTGTGAAAATTTCTCTAGGAAAAACTTATGCTCCATATTATAACGTAAAAGAATCCTAAGATTTAATCAACTTACATTCACACATCCCACAGTTTAGTCAACTGACATGATCACCACATAAAAACAACTCGGAATGCCAACCACCAGATGAGATGGGAAGCATCACCAAAGCAGTCTCCATACTCAACAATTTAAATGAGTTATAAACTCTTATCATCCTAACTAACTAAATAAGTAAAGTGTCCAATTGAAATGAAATCGAAGAAAAGAAAAATATAAAAGACAAATACAGAAATACTCGATTTGAGTCTTCTCCATCCAACTGCTTTAGAACCAATGGAACCTCCTGCTTAGGGGTGGACTCGGGAGTCGGGTCGGTCCAGTCCTGATTCCGGGCCAAGATGGCCCAATCTAAAAAAATCCCAAGGCACGGGTCTGAACTCTGAACCATTTTTTTCCCGCGTCAGGGTCGGCTTCAGGTACCCGGCCTATCCATTAGCTCTTTGGCCGAATGAAGCTTTAAAAAAATCCAAGCTGGAACCGGAACCTCAGAATTAGGTCCCCAAAACTGGGAACTAGGACCATGAACGGTGAACTGCTTTAGGGCAAACTGGTCTGGTCCCAAGCCTAGAATTGTACAAAAGGAACCCGATACGAGCCAAAACAGTGTCGGACCGCCAGACCATGTCCACCCCTACTCATGCCTAGCTACAACGCTTTCTACCATGAAACCCACCCCCGTCCCTCCCTAATCCTTGTTTTTATCGGCATTTTTTTTTGTTTTTTGGGTCATTTTTTAGTTGAGGCTAAGGGTGTGCACAATTCGGTAAACCGACCGAACCAAACTGATACCAAAATTTCGGTATGTACCAAATATCGAACCGAAAATCCGATTCGGTAATCGGTATGTGTAATTTCAAAAAATCGATATTCGGTTCGGCATATATAAAAAAATGGTTTTTCAGTATGTACCGAATACCAAAATAAATAAAATAATAAATATTAAATATATAATATATTTATATATTATGGCCCGGAATATATTAATATTGGTATATTTATATATATTTCGGTATGTATTATATATTTATATATAATATATTTAATTATTTATATTGGGAAAACTGTCAAATAGGTCCTCGAACTTTCATAAAAAGGTCAATTAAGTCCTTCTATAGGAGGTTCTGTCCGGACGTCGCGATTTGGGGCAGTTCCCGGTGGAATTTTTTGATGAAATTTTTTGAGCATCTTATTCACCAAGTCTAGTTTACTCATACCAAATTTCAGCTAAAACATCAATCGGGAACACATTCAAATTAATTCTTGAAGATAATTGCGCATTTTTGCGTTCTCGAATTAATTTGAATGCGCTCCCGATTAAATTTTTAGCTGAAATTTGGTATGAGTAAACTAGACTTGGTGAATAAGATGCTCAAAAAATTTCATCAAAAAATTCCACCGGGAACTGCCCCAAATCGCGACGTCCGGACAGAACCTCCTATAGAAGGACTTAATTGACTTTTTTATGAAAGTTCGAGGACCTATTTGACAGTTTCCCATTTATATTTAATACAATACATTTAAATAAAATATATTTAAATATTTATATTTAAATATTTATATTTAAACATTGAATGCCTATTTGGTAATTCAGTGATTACCAAACCAATTCTTTTTTTATTTTTATCGAACCAAACCGATTTAGTTCGGTTCGGTATTCGGTACGCGCATGTGCAAAACCGAAATTTCGGTTGGTATTACCGAATGAACACCTCTGGTTGAACCGTTGAGGCGGCCTAAATGCCACCCTTTTTTGGGTCATTTATTTGAGGCAACATCAACTCCCAAAAACTTAATTCAAGGTTTTAGACTTTCAGTATTTTGTCATGAGACAAATTAACTGTTATATGTCACGGATGAATTACAAGTTTTCTAAAATAAGACGTTTTTAGTTGCAAGAATCTACAAACAAAAAAAGATGGTTTAAACTTTAAAGCTTGTTTTGGAGATGGGCTACAAAAGTACAAGAGCATTATGTTCGGTGTTAAAACTCACTCCCAAAGGTACAAGCACATGACCGGTGTGGGTCTGTGGGATCATTACATTCGGAGTGATTCGAGCAAGAAAAATTATCTGTGTAATGCAGCTAATTTTTCCATGGTACAAAATAGCTCGTGAATCGCATCTTTATCAAGAAGATAAATAGCAGAATCCAAGTTCTGTTCTGCCATATCCACATAGAAGGGAATTACCGTGCCGGTGATGCTGCCTTTCTTGCCGAATGAAGCATAAACTATACTGCCTTAACTTTTTTTACTTGGCTCAAGGAATAAAATGGTCGCTTTGTAAGAAAGAAAAAATGGTTTCAATAAACTTATCGGACAGCACAGTACTTGTGTTGACATTGCTGGGACAAGCAACAACTCAAAGCAACTAAACACAACATTAGACCATAGAAATGGTGTACTCATACATATAGGCAGTGCCAATGTACATTGACCATTCCTTGATTCATATGACATACATATCCACATTGACCTTCAGTAATACAACCAGTGTGTCGAAGGATCTGAGGATAAAAAAAAATAGCAAATTAGCAATGGTTGATACGTTAGTTTGTCATTTCGCAGACCAATGTTAACCGAATAAGTAGTGAATAACCATGGCTGGAGTAAGAATGGTTGATCCGTTATCTTTAAGCCAAATTTGCCTCTGTACTATTGTCTACCAAAACATATTTTTGTCTAATTACATTTCCAACTAAAATGAAGTGCATGTGCAAAACAGAACGGAGATAGCAATGAGAAGGGCCTCTCGTTTTGAAAGTTGCAACTTTCTGGAAGGAAGCATTAAATAAAACACACTGATTTTGTTTTTTTATTTCATGCAGACAGTCCCAGAGGAAGGAAAGTTTTCACAGACCAAATACATATGATGATATGAGAATGGTGTGAGCCGCACCCGAGCTGCGTCTGAGACTCCGAGCCTTATCTCAACTGTGCTCAAGTCAAATCCGAGCCATTTCAAAGTGTCCAAGCCACATCTGAGCCTCCAAGTCGTGTCTGAACCACATTGGAGCAGTAACCAAATTGCAATTAAGCCATTGAGCCATGTCTGAGAGTCCAAGATGCTTATCCTTCGGAATATCTGAGAGCATCATAGTCGCGTTGGAACCATATCTAAACCACATTCAAGCCACACTTGAACTGTGTCAAAGCATCTGAGCCACATTGGAGCGGTCAGAGACAAACCCGAATCGCAGTGTGTCATATCCGAGCGACGTACATTGGATTTTGTTCGAATAAAAAGGAAGTACTTTCAGGCCAAATAACTAATCTTCGTCCAATGGTTAGAAGAAATTAAGGATTAAAATAATCGAGGGTTTCTTTGTTGTAAGGTTGTTGGGTTCAAAAGAAGGGATGGTAGGAGAGGAGATGTAGAAAATGGGTGGAAAGGAAAATAGATGAATTAAGAAAAAGAAATGTTCAGTTCTATGGTAACTAGTGAGACAATCAGACAATAACAGCAACATCCAAGCCTTAGTCCAAAAAGTGTATGAGGTCAACCAACATGAATCGACATATGAAATCGGATCTAAAAAAGGTGATGGATAGTCTACCCGGGGGGTATCTTATCCGAGGGGTTATTCCGGGAATAACTAGAGAGAAGTCAGAGTAAATAGGAGGGGAGAGAGTCGATTTTATTAAACGAACTCAGCGTGTGGAGTTGAGATGTAGATGTTTTTTTACAAGGAGAAATGGGCTGCTATTTATAGTAGCAATAAATGCGATGAGAGTACACGTGTCAGTAATCCAACGGCCGAAGGGTCACATCAGCCGGTTGGCACCGGCTGTGGTACGTTTACCGCATTGAATGCGGTTGGCGGATGTGACGTGGTATTAAATGCGGTGGTTGGCTGTCTCCAAAAGGAATCTTCGATGATTGAGCTAGTTCAGCCGAAGGCTCCTTGCGTAGCCGAGGGCTCCTTGTGGCAAGGACCCTTGTGTGGCCGAAGGCCCCGTGTGGCCGAAGGCTTGGTTCAGCCGAAGGCTTATCTGATGCCGAGGGCATGACAATGCCGAAGGCTCATGTTTTCGCCCGTTTTCTCCCAGCAGCTTCTTATGCCAAAAAAAAGGCCATCCTGTGAGTTCTGGAGCCTTCGGCCAAGGAGGCCGAAGGCATCCCAGTGTGTGTTCTGAGCTACTTCGAGGCTTGGGCCGTTGTATTTGGGCCTGAGTTGTTTCCCGGGCTCAATGGACTTGTGTAGGAGAAGTAGGAGTCTATGGGCCGGGGGTTCCTGGGCCATATACTCCATCAAAAGGATAATGAAGCTAAAAGGATGAGAAAAGATAAAAAAAAAGATAAAATAAAGATAAGATAAAGATAAAAAGATAAGATAAAACAATAAGGAAGATATAAAAACAAAACTTTAATAAAATAAAATTATACAAGTGAGAAAATTAAAGTCCGTACTTTTATAAAAGAATATACGTAGTATAACATCACTCTTTATTTGGTAAAATCTTTGTGGCAATCTATAACATTATATATATATGTATAGCAAGAGTGATTTTCATTAGTGTTTTCCTATTTTTCTAGCATTTTCAGAGATCTAAACACTCTGAGGATCCATTTGGAACTGACATCACCACCCAGTCATCCATCCATTACTAGGCCAGGCAAACGAGGTTCAGTTCAGATATTAATATTTACTGAGGGTAAAAAGGAAATTAAGAAAAAGGGTCAATCCTCAAAAGTAATCAAAGTGGGGAGTGGAATATTAGGATACCAGATGAGTCATAGCTCCTCCAAATTATTCCCCTCCATAATCTGGAATCGAACAAGGGCTAAATTTGTGCCAAAAGATAGAACTTACAGTCAAGAAAGAAGTGTTTCCCCTTAAAATGCTTCTGTTGCAGCAATATCTCTTAATTTCTGCAAGAATATGAGGGGTTTTGGTTTTAACGCTCAAATCAAATATGATCAAAGCTCTATTAATTGTAACATGTATGACTGAAATCCGTCAACTTTGCTAGCAAAATACTGGGTTCAGTAACTTCAGTTACCATTGCTCTCTCCATGATATTCTTAACCAACTGCATAGTGACAAATTCAATAGTCAAAACCCATTTTCATTTCATCAGATCATGCCTTAAGATTGATCGAAAGCATCGAGAGTCCATTTCGATCTAGGAAATCATTAGGGAAAAGAATATACAGAGTGAAATCGGAGGGATATAAATTTTGGGGAAAATAAAAGATACGCTTGAACTATATACTTGTATTTTAGATATTACTTCAACTGTTTTTTTACTATATAAATGCTAAGAAATCTAAATAATTGTACTAATGTAAATTTATAATAAATAAAAACAAATCATTGTTTTTATTCCCTGAACGGGTGCCTTAGAGCCCTTTATATTTATCCCAAACTTGAGAAAATAATTTCCTTACCATTTGATTTCCTTTCTCTAGCATCTTCCAATATCATGGTGGGGGTGCTAAAGATATTTTTTTATACTCAGTTTTGGCAATTTAAACAATCTTTTTTCACAGCATGAGTATGGGATCATATTCTCATTTCATCATTTTCATTTTCATTTTCATTTACCCCAGTGCCGCAAAGGCTCCCACCTACGGTGGAGTAAGGGGGGTCGGATGTACGCAGTCTTACCCCTGTACTAAAGTACAGAGAGACTGTTTCCGGATGACCCATAGTGAAAATCGCGTCCAAAATTGCATGGACTGACTGCTGCTTCATAACAAAGAAGCGCAGACAGTTTAGTGAGCCATTTTGTTTAGAATATGGGATCATATTCTAAGATGAAAAAAGAATTCCCGCTGCATAATTTCAGCCTACAATTCAACAAGTGTTTCAAGAAAAATCGGCTGTCTATTCATAGCGCATCCTAAAGATCAGTTGAGGTTGATCTGCAGTGATAACAACACAGAACATACTGTCTTACAGTGAACAATTTCTTTTGTTTTCCCAAATAGCTGGGTTTTATTTCAAGGCCAACTGGTGAACTGGTATGCTTTGAAGAGAATTTCAATTCCTGAAGGGATCTGAGACATGAAAAGGAGGACATTCAACACATTTAACGCAATGTGAAGATTTCTAGCACTTTCGCTTCCCTTCTGCATTGCAGGTACAAGAGCAGCAGATACAGCCCACAAGACAGTAATTGCTGCCCCTGCAAACAAGTGAGGCCCTGGGAACAGCTTCCCCGTCCGAACCCAAGTGTTAAATCCTCCTGAAATGGCCTCAAAGACCCCAAATCCTAACAATACAGAACCAGCATTGAAATGCCTATCCCTGAATGAACCCTTCACCAATGCCTTTCTCTCCTCAGTAAGTTGCTGAATCTTGACTTCAACAGGAGATGCCTGAGAGAGATCAGTAGGAGTGGCGTCGTCTATAACTGGCACCCTGGCTTGCTTCTTCAGCTCACTGATCTCATCCTGGAGTGTGCGCACGCGCCGCCACTGCCAACCAAGGAATCCGGCATACAAGGTGTAAACAAACAGCCCACTCATAACAATAGGGTGAATCATGGCAAAGCTACGCCCTTCAAGAATCCCAAATTCCCCACCAACCGCAATAGCATCCTGAGCGTCGAAAAGGAAGGTCAATGCCATGCAACTAAGAGGGAGAGGGGCGAATTTGAGCGGTGAATTAATGGTTTGTTTAAGAGGGTTTTGGGAGATCTGGGGAAGAATTGGTCTGATGGGTATTGAGGAAACCGACTTTGGGATGATGGGTTGCTTCTGCTTTGATGAGGAAAGGACTGGGAGTTGGAGGAGGTTGAACGTGGTTGCCATGGCTGGCTGTCTTCTTCTTCTTCACTCTGCAAGCTACTAGAGGGAGACTCGTTTTAGCAATTTAAACTACGGAGTATTAGACAAAGATTAAGAAAGGTAGAGATATGTATAAGAACATAAAAGAACTGATAGGAAAACGACTTTCCTTGCATTTCCCCTTTCCCATAGCATTTTTCAGGATCCAGAAATATTCATTATCCCGAGAGGAAGGGCGGGCACCTACCTTCTTTCTAGGTGCTCTGATGAGCTGGGAATTGTTTCACCATACATTGTGCAATGTCATCAACATGTGCATTACCTTATCAGGAGTGATCTTCTGCATCAATAAATCTAATACTCTGCTAAGTCATTTAATTCGATTTTTTCCATTAAGAAACTTTTAAAAAATAAAATTTTTACTTTTATTATTATACCTCACTTCTTGCCAAAAAAAATTATGAATAATTGTGATTTAAAAAACTAAACATTATGATTAAAAATAAATGAATTTAGAGAGAAGAAAGATTAATACTATCATAATTAACAATTCACTATGCTTTTTTGGAGTTGGTCCGAGAGTGTGATGGTATGAGCTTTCTTCATTTTAGATGAAGTTTGTTGGAAAATAAATGGTGGAGATTTTGAACCATTGGCTGGGTGTAATTCTTGATTCGTTTTGTATTTTAATATTCATTTATCATCCAAAATAACTCTGATTTTAATACAAAATCATTGTCTAAACTTTAATACCATTGATCAAGAAAAGTCAAATTGATCAATCAATTTGAATAAAGGTAGCACCAAAATATATTGCCTTCTGATCACTCTATAAAGGTTGACCAATTTTGACTTCCATGTGAAATAATAAAATAAAAATTGTAATGTTATAATTAGTAGAGGAGAGCAAGGCTTTGTGAGACGTAGGGAGTAGTATATTAGTATGATAAGATTTCATTTCATAAGGGTCTAATAAAAGTTATATGTTTCCTGAGAAGCATATATAAGTAAATGAAAAAAAATGTTAATGATCAACTTGTTACCAAAAAGATTTGAAAATGAATGTACTTTACACCTATCCTCTAATTATGAAAATTGATCTTCAAATCTTTTAAAAAAAGAGTAAAGGGTCAATTTAGTACTCGAAGTTGTATAAAAAGGGTCAAATAAGTCTTTACTGTCCGGCCGTCGCCATTTGGGGCGGTTCCCGAGAGAATTTTTTGATGAAATTTTTTGAGCATCTTATTCATTAACTCTAGTTTACTCGTACCAAATTTCAGTTAAAACTTCAATCGGGAAAGCATTCAAATGAATTCTTGAAGATAACTGTGTTTTTAACTGCGCAGTTATCTTCAAGAATTCTTTTGAATGTCTTCCCGATTGAAGTTTTACATGAAATTTGGTATGAGTAAACTAAACTTAATGAATAAGATGCTAAAAAAATTTCGTCAAAAAATTCCACTGGGAACCGCCCCAAATGGCGACAACCAGGCACAGCCTCCTATATAAGAACTTATTTGACCCTTTTTATGCAACTTCGAGTACCAAACTGACCCTTTACTCTTAAAGAAAATATTAGGTTGGACAGCCAGAAAATGATTTATCTCCTGTTAATATCTTCACTTTGAATCCACAATTTAGCTTTAACAGCTACTTGGACATTTACTGCAATAAAACCCCGAGTTTAATTCACTTCTCTGCTTAGTGCAGAACTGTCTGATAAAGAATTAGACTCCTCGAAAGTACCATGCATTTAAAAAAAATCTAAATGTCACACAATTAGTACACAGAAAAATTATTTTGTTTAATCGTGTTTTATCAGTTGTAGCCATTAAAATGCTAAATACAAATGCTTGGTTGACACCCCCCCCCCCCATCTGCCATCTCAAGCCATATTTTTACAGTGTGACTTGAGAAAAGAGCAGTAATGTGTTGAGCGTTGACTATAGGCAATCCCCAATTATTTACCCTCTCACAGAGTTCATGCTGGAGAAGAAGTAATGGCAATCTTTGACTTAGTAGGATTGAGCTTGGGTATGATTTCAGAGACCACCCTTTGCAGGGGAACTATGTTAATCTGTCGGCTGTTTACGAGCAACCCTGACAGCAAGTTGACTTCCAGGGTTCCTAAAATATCAGTAAGTAACTCCTCCCAAAGTTTGAAATCCTCATTAATGTTTGATCTTTTCATGAGTTCTTTCACTTGCTCCAGGGTAGCTACATTTCTACCTGCACCACAACCCATAGCAGTTGCGCCCCCAACAGCATTTGCAAGGGTTAGAGTATGAACCAAAGGCGCATTTTGTATATAACCAAATGCAATGGCAGCCACGAAGCTGTCTCCACACCCGACAGTGTCTATAACATTCACCTGTTCAGAGAAGAGGACAGTTTTGTTTTGTTAAGCATAGAAGTATAATAAATGGGATTAATACTTCATAGAAATTTTTTAATGCAATTAACCAGCTTTTAAAAAAAGGAGGGTCTATATCAAACACATAGGAAGTTTATTGTTTCCTATTTAGCTTATGTGGGCACTCTTCAATACCCCTCCCATATACACAATCTCTGTCTGGACTACATTTTTTGGTATAAATTCACCCATCCCTCAAGGCCGGAGGTGCCTAGAGGCTGCAATTTTTTTCTTACGGGCATGCACACTTCACGATTTCATGGCTGAAAAACATTCATCTTGCCCGTCCAAATTTTTTCATGCCATATTAACCAAAAAGCAATATACAACTTAGACATGCAGAGGTTTACAAAGGAGATGCAAGGAACAAAGCTGCTAAGTAATCAACCCTAGGTCTGCTATAGAGTATGATGCTAAATTGCCAAGTCAATAGAAGTAGAAGAAACCACAAGGCACAGATTGATACCTTGAAAGCAGGAGCACAGGTTATACTTGACCTGGTGATTAAAACCGAACCAGTTGCACCCATCTTAACAACCACCCACTTTGTACGAGATCCTTTCTTCAGCAACTCTTGCCCCGCCCTTATTGGGTTTTTAATGCCGGTCAATGATTCCACCTGGTTCGCACCAGAAACAAATGAAAAAAATTAAAAAATTAGAAGATGCTTTTAGTTCTATTTGAAATCATTTAGGAAGAATGGCAGCAATCTTACTAGAGCTTGTGATAACAGAAATATGACTAGTTTTCTTTTTGAATGACAACATAATCTCAAAACTCTAAATGTATTCAGATTTTTTCTCCCCTCATCCCCTGTGCAGCTTCCCGGCCTCACTACCCAAGCTCCCACCGTAAAAAATCCAGAAGATATCCAAAAAGTCACCGGAAAAGTCACCAAAGAGTCACCATAATTTGCTTCCGCCGGTTAGTGGCACGTGGTTGGTGTCACTGATGGTGGTCGCTTGTTAGTGGCAGTGACATATTAAAACCACTAGCAGACAAATTAAAAGTGACATGTAGAGTCAATGTTCTAGAATTTTCTAGTATTCATATTCTTGTTTTCAACTTCTCCTTAAGCCATATCTATGCCAAAAACCCCCAACAGCTTATGTTTTGTAAATTGTTTTGTTGTTCTTTAATCTATCCTTAAATATGGAAAGCATTTACCAACTTTAGATAACACTGTGTTTGGTAAAAAAGACAAATAGCGTAGAAAGCACAAAGAAGAAAGAGTGTTTTTTAACGAAGAAGAAAGAGTATTAGTGGAAAGAGAATGTGATTAAAAGTTGGAATTTTTATAAAGACAAATAAAACAAATTTAAAAATGATATTTGCAGAATTGCGAAGGGAAATGAGAGAAAAAAGATTAGTACTACGTAAAATTTTCACTATTTTCTCATCTTAGTGGAGAAAAGAAAAATGTACCATGAACCCCACTCTTTTTCTTCTTTCTCCCCTATTTCTCTCCCATCCAAACCGAAAAAAAAAAACTCCTCTTCCTCTCTTTGTTTCTCTTTTCTCTATTTTCCTTCAAACAAACAAACCATAATACAAGAGAATTCTGGATGAAGTAGAAAGACGAAAGAACACAATGGGATTATCTCACTATAAATCTATCTTAAAGAAATTTGAGGAATCAACCTCCTCGGAAGTGAAGAGAAGCACATCACTCATCTTTAAGTATTTTCTTAATGCTCTCTGTTCTTCAGATCTGCCTGAGACAAGGGTCACCCTTGGACCAGGGTCAAAAAAGATGGATGTTTCCGCTTCAACGGCACAATCCAAAGCAGATTCGAGCAGTCTAGGAGAGAATTCATCAAAGTCATAACCATTGCAGAACAAGATTTTTGATTGTTTTATAGCATTCTTTACTTCAGTAGGCAACTCAATCATCCAACTGTATACAGGATCCTTGGTGAAATCCGTTCGACTGAAAAAGAGTAATTCTCACCCTTGTAACAACAACATCTAAGAAGCAAAAGAATGAAGAAAGATAAGCCTTCCATCTTTTATAGTAGAGTGTAGGTGCCTTGCCCCCCCACAAGGAGTTAATTAATGTCTTTAGGAAAATCATAAAATGGGGGAATCTGCTGAAGTGCTGAACTATAAAAAGAATAACTGAAATGTGTTCCTTGCATAAACTAAACAATTACAATATCTAAAAGTGAATCGATAAAGTTCCCCTCCTTAAATAGTACTCCCTCCGTCCCATAAACAACTTCCCACTTCGTTTTCACACATATTAAGGAAATAAACTTACTTGGGGTAAATTTTACTGTTTGGACACTGTTTGGCACTATTTAACTGTTTTGATGTAGAGAATTTGCCAAATAAGGAAGTGGGAAGAAATGGGAAGTTAATTTTGGGACTGCCCAAAAAGAAAAGTGGGAAGTTGTTTACGGGACGGAGGGGGGCAACAATTACGTGTGAAGTGATGAACTACTTTTTTATTATCAGTTGATTCAGTTAGTGCAATGGAATAAGAGTGTGTTTGGCATAGCCAATTAGCCACACAAAATTAGATTACTTCAATTATTGGCTAAATGGATAGCCAACTAATAATAATAATCAGCTTTTGTGTGGGTAAAGTTTGCAATCTTTTGAAAGCACTGCCTCAACAGTTCAACCGCTCAATCAAGTTCCCACATTGACTTTTATGATCATCAATATGAATCTCTGACCCTTATTATTACTACCTCCGTCCCGCTAAGTTTGGGACAAGATAAGGTGGCACGGTTATTAATAAAAGTGGGTTTATGTGGTTGATATTGAATTGATAAAGTAAGAATAAAGTAGGAATGATTTAGAACCACACAAACTTTACCAAATAAGGTATGAGACAATCTTAATGGGACGGACCGAAATGGTAAAAT